GGGGGAAAGGGGAAGGGTAAAGGGACAGGGGGATGTGGAGGGGAGGGAAGGGAAAGGAAAAGACCAGGGGAACGAAAGAGAAAGACAGCAATGGAGAAGAAAAAGAAAAAGGAAAAGACCAGAGGAAGGAAAGAGAAAGAACGCAATGAAGAAGAAAGGGGGGGGGGGAATCAATGAAGGGGAAGGGGGAAAGGGGAAGGGGAAGGGGAAAGGGGACAGGGGGAAAGGGGGATGTGGAGGGGGGGGAGGGATCCCCTTTCCCAGGCAGTTGGGGGATACTGAAGGGACCGAAGGGACCAGGACGGGGGTTGGGTTGACAAGAGAGGTCTCCCCTTTCCCATGCAGTTGGGGGATACTGAAGGGACCGAAGGGACCAGGGCCTCTGCAGTTTGGAATATAGCATGAGCAACTGGCTTATGCTTGTTTGTTTGTTTTTCGTCCTCCGCCCACAATAGAGCAGAGCTGCCATTAAAAGGGCCTTTACCCGATATAGGCCTCAGGCCTTGTAAAAATAGAGCAGACAAGATGAGTTACCTAAGGAGGAAGAAGAGAGATAAGCTGAGCTGAAGACTAAAAAGCGGAAGATTGATGCTAAGGGAGGAAAGGAAAGAGCTGGGGAGAAGTCAAAGAAGAAATGGAAGTACCAGACATCGATTGAAGAGGGGGTTGATCTGGAGAATTTGGTAAATAAGCTTCTTGGGGGTTTGCCAGGGCTCAGAAACGTGAAAACAGGTCAAAAGTCAAGTTCTCTATCAACAGGCACATCTAAATCTAAGGCAAAGGGCATTGTCAAAAGACTTACCTGTTCACCAGGAGATGTGTATGTCATGTCTGTTCGAGTAAGGGTGTGTCTGTACGTGTAGGCAGTGTACCTGTTCGTGCAATGGAAAGTGCCTGTTCAAGTAGTAAATGTGTCTGTTCGTTTAGAGTCGTGCCTGTCCGAAAGTGAAGTCAGTAGGCACAGTCCCAGTTCTGGTCTAAGTCAAGGGGTCAGTCCAGATCCAGACTTTCAAGTCCAAATCCAGGCCGAAGTGCCTCAGCAGCAGTTGAATCTCATTGGGACTGTACHGGGAYVCATGCAATGCAGGGTCTGGGACAAAGGGAGAGGCTGAATTGAGCCAATGCAGACCCAGCGAGGAGTGGCCAGCACTATAAAAAGAGATGCCTGCCTCATTCTTCGCCAGATCTCCACTGGCTGCAATGCGTGGAAGTACTGGTGCACTTGTGCGCTGAGTCAGGAGGAGCAGCGCTGGAGGAGAAGATGCGCTGGAGGGAGGAAGAAGCCTGTACGCTGGAAGTGATGCAGCCATAGCTGCCCAGCGAGTTAGTATTACTAGTAGAGGGTTAGTATGTAGCTATGAGTAGTATCCAGAGTAGATCCTCATGAGTATTAAAGAGTGTGTATGCATCATAGGAGGAAGGGATTGAGGCTGAGAGTGTTCATTCAAGGTTGGCTATGGAAGATACTTACCTGAGTTGGATGTGACCTGCAGAGGTGGCGCTGATGA